TTACGTGGCACTAGCTTGAAAAAAAATCAATCATCGTTGGGCCCACAAGATAGTGTCACGTAGGCTAAAAAGGGGTAAAAAATTATTAATCAAATAAGTTCAGGAGGGTAATAGGACCTTAGTATAGTATAAATGTGTCTTTGAGATTTCGGGTATAGGTTGAGGAGGTACTTGAGCATTATCCCTAAAATATATAACTATCTAGCTAATTGAACTATTTATATAGATAGTAGGTAAATTTCAATTATCAGATGATTAAATAAAAAAATGATTTAAACAATTTATATGGAAATAAGAGATCAAGCTAAATATAACTCACTCCCCAATAGCAAAATATATATTCATCATGATTCATACAAAGAGGCATAACATATGCCACTTAAATTCCTATAAACATAGAAATGAGAATATCTAAGATGACAATGTTTCCCTCATTAGATCAGGGCTGATCACTTCTCTAGGGCTTTCTAGAAGGTTGGAAAATCATTATATATGTATAAATTTTAAATTATATATAGTAGATGTTTACTCTTTTAGGTGAGAATCACGTTCGTGCTATTGTTGTGTCAATCGACTATAGTGAGATCAGAATACTTAGTAATCTTATACGTAGTCAAATCTAGTTTACCTTTTATGACGATCCATTTTTTCGTTGCTCCACTTCTCTTCATCTCGAAATATACTTGAAATTCATTGTATGACTAATTCAAATTCGAGGCACGTGGATCCAAACCATCATACTTGTACATACTAGGACGGTCCATTTTTTTGGCTACTCCACTTCTCAATCATTTCGATATACACTTTGAAAATTATTTTCTAATTAATTCGAATTCGTATCACGTGAAGCCCAAGTCATCATCTAGGGCTGCTAGTGGAAGATTGATCCAATGCAAGTATTTTATTTTGCTTTTCATTGGGCAATTTATATACACTAGGAAGAGTTGATTTCCAATTTACTCCACAAGAGGTACTTCTTGTATGCTTTGCAATTGAACTTGTATTTGCAGCTATTCTCATTTGTTCAATTAAGGCTTCAGTATTCCCTTCCTCTGAAAAGATTTCCTCTAGTTGTTGAGGATTGATAATTAATTTGACTCTCCAAACACCTATATATATATATATATATATATATATATATATATATGAAATAGAAAATCAAAAAAAAAAAATTAATTAGGTATTGAAGCGGGAGAATAACTTTTCTTAAAGAGATATTGCTAATATATATATTATTTGCTATGTTATTCAGACTCTTTGAAAACTTTCATGAATGTGAGTTTAACTCTTTAAAGATAGTTTATTTTTCGAAAGATCGATACAAATTTGATAATATTTTTGAAGAATCTGAACAACATTTATATTATTTGAGGAAATTCAATAAAGTCATTGTATACATTGATTTTTTATTGGACTTAATTACGAGAAAGAAAAAGAAAAACAAAAATTTAAAACTTGTAGTCTTAAATATTGTTCGAATTCTCTGGAAAAAAAAATATCATCGAATGCATGTTGAATCCTATATATTTTCCAAATATCTATGTTCCTCATTCCTCAAACTCTTCAAACAAGTGCATGCCAGATCCGTCAAAAGTAACATCTTTTTGATGGATCTAACATCAAACACAATATTTTTGAAAAGTACGAGCAACAAAATCAATTATTTTCTAATTATCTAGTATAATATTCAGGTTTTCTGAAATTATCGTTGGATGCATATCAAAAATCATCCAATAAGCAACACATATTATGTAAAACACAACAACCAATCAACATTTTCAAAAATTCTAAACAACAATAGTAAAGTTATAAAACAATAAGGTTTTTCTCTAAATTATCTATATTACTCGAACTCTTTTTAAAATGTAATAAAGTCAAATACTCCTAAATAAACATAAATTTCATAACATTTTTGAAAAAAGTCTGAGCAACAACTAAAAGAAAAAAAAAACAGAGTGTCACGTAAAATAAAACAGAACGAGTACACGAACCTTCTCGTTGAGCAGGCAAAACTTCCATGGCTGACCCTTTCGTCAAGCTGGACGAAACTCGAATTTGCTCTGTTTTTTCTTCTTCAACTAAAATGGGCTCTGTTTTTTGTTGAATTACAGGTTGAAGATAGTAAAATTGCCCATCAAGGAGCAATTCTTGATTATGTAATGGAGAAGACAAACAATTCGAACTGAAAATGTTGTAACCTGGAAATTCATTTAGAACTTGTCGAACTAATTTGGGGCCTTTAAGATTCAATATTTCACCTGAATTTGTCATAACACGAGCAAAATTAAAATCTGGTGATTTTCTTGAATCTCTTACTGCTTTCATTGAACAATTGCAGTTCCCCATTGATGCACAAAGTTCAAGAATCAATTTTTTTTTTTTGAGGAGTGTGATTGTGTTCAATTAATGAATGAGAATTACTTTTGTTTGTGAGAATGTGTGCATATATATATTAAATATTGTTTCAATTTTTAGTCGAATATTTATCAAAAATAATTTTTTTGTCATTAATGTAGAAGCAAGGTTGGTTTTTACTTGTGAAGTTATATGAAACATGTTATTGTTGTTATAATTTTAAATTTTGAGAGTCAAATTTTTTTTTTTTTATCGTGAATTAAGATTTCACTTGTGTCTTTTGTTTTTTGGTTAATTATTATTATTTGATTGTTATCGTTGATTTTTCTTAGGTTTGTTGTGTAATGCTCTCAATTTTATCTGATTTTGTTGTTGTTATTGTTCACATATGTGTATTTTCTTTTTGTGAGTCAATTTTTTTTACCGTTCATTTGGATTTTAGCTGTGTTTTTGTGGTCTGATTAATTATCTTATTATTTTATTATTTTTTCTTCTATTTGTTATTATTTTTTCTATGCTTGTATATTCTTGTTTAAATTGTATGAACATATTTTTATCAAAAACGATATCTTTATGGAAGGGTAATATTGAATAGGTTGCATTTAGACATATACCCGATCTTTAAATTATTGCATCAAAATTTTACAAAAATTAATAATTAAAAATATTGAAAAATATATAAGTAGATCACAATAAAAAAAAATTCATATTTAACTTTGGGAAAATGCATAAGTATCTTTCAATCTATATCCGAAATTTCAGAGATACATTTATATTATACTAAAATCATATTATCTTCCCCCCTCTCCCCTCCAAACTTATTTTTAAAGTAATTTTCTACCTTTTTTCGATCTACTTGACACTAGCTTTTAATAAAAGTCAATCAGTATTGGACGCACATAATAGTGTCACGTAGGTCGAAAAAGGGTAGAAAATTATTAATAAAATAAGTTCAAAAAAATAATAAGACCTTAATATAAAATAAATGTATCTCTAAAATTTCGAACAAAAATTAAAAAAATACTCATAAATTATCCCTTTCAACTTTTAAAATTTGAACTATATATCATGTGAATATAAACAAAAGAAATAGTACAAATAGTTAGTGTGAGAAGAATCTTTTAGCTAAATTCAAGGGAGTCACGGATTTAGATGGACAAGGAGACAAGGGAATGAGGAGTAGGTGTACTCAAGAAAAATTAATTAGTACTTATATATTTACTTTTTTTTTATAATCGAAATGAATATTATGAGATGAATAAAATTTATTTTTTATTAATAAAAAGCCTCTAAGTCATTAAAATGAAATTTTTTATAGCTAGTAACTTTTTTGGGTAAAATTCATAAAAAAAAATGATTTTGATTCCTGTAATTGAAAAAATGATTATTATTATTTAGCTTTAAATTTTACACGTAAAACACTTACATTTGTTTGGATCATTATTATCCATTATTTCATAATATATTGTATTGTATTGTACTGTATTGTATAATAGATACAAACAGTTTAATGACATTTTAATTATTTGGTTTGATTGTATCATACTGTATTGTAATTTATAAATTTACTAAATTATTCTTAATTATTTTAAGATAGGTGGTTTGACTAGATTTAAATAATTAAAGTAAAGGGTAAAATAATTTTTTGAAATATGATGTAAGAATATACTTGAAAAAAGAAATAAAGTAACAATTTTTGAAACAGACCAAATCGATTATTATATAAAATAGGGGTTCTCATTGTTAGGTAACAATGAAATTTAACAATACAATACAATATATTTTAAGTAACAATCAAAACAAACATTATAGATATAGTAACGATACAATACAATACAATAAGTAACAATGATCCAAACATAATATTGATAGCCTTTTAGAAAAAAATCACAAAGTATAAATTTTCGATCCTTATAAATGAAAAACAACCATTTCTCATCTAGTATTTCCCAATAAGAAAACTTTGAATAACACAAATTTAAATTAATCGATCGATAAATATCGAGGAGGCAGAAATTTCAGCACGTTGTTTTATTTTTTGAAAATTTGAATTGCAAAATTTAATTGATTAGACCGTTGGAATAATTATGCATTAATAATGGTTGAAGTACATGCATATGATCCTAGGCCTTGGAATCTCATATTTCCTGTCCATATTAAATGGATATTTTTTATTTTACAGAATAATTAAAAAATTAATAATATATTAATTAACTTTTTTATTTTTCCTTTTATTTACATTAACTAATCTCTTGAAAAAGACAAAATAAATCTATAAAATTTGTTTAAATTTTCAAATTTCATATTTAATTATATGTTGAATTTAGTTGGTACTCAAATAATATGAAATAAATACTTTTAGTAAGATGCACGTTTAATATTGAATAGAAGGAGTGTAAAAAGAGTTTATTAATACATCTCATTAAAAGATAATTATAAATGATTGTTCACGGTAAATAAGATTATTAAATTTAGAATATCATAACAATAAATTAACATGCTATAAAAAAATTAAAATATGTCAAGACATTTCCTAAAAATTCTTTACACGTATTTTCATATATATATATATATATATATATATATATATATATATATATATATATATATATATATATTGATTGATTGAGCATCCAATAGAAGTAACTTTGGAAAATAAGGACAATCATATATTCCATGATTTAGAAATTTTGAGTCTTCCATTAAGTTATGAAAAATATTTTAATAATTTTTTAAAAAAATATTCTTGTATAGAGTTCTGATTCTATCACTAACACAGTGTAATATACTCCCTTCGTCCGAAATTATTTGTCATATTGTGCTTATTGAAAGTCAGTTTGACTAATTTTCAAAGGTAAATTAGATTACATTAATTCGATATTTTAAACAAAAAAATTAGATATTCTAAAATTATATGAATAGTACTATAAATTACAATTTTTTGCATATTAATATGATGAAAAAATTCATCTTAAAATATTAGTCAAAGTTTTTATAGTTTGACCCTAAAAATAGAAATCATGATAAATTATATAGGACGGTGTGGGAAGTAACATTTTTAAATATGTTCTAATGTAGCATTCATTACAAACATGTCCTAACGTGGCATTTAATTAGTTCTAGGGGGAGTGTATACATATATATCCCAATAAAAACAACAACATGTGAAGAACAAAGTCAAAAAGTGGATTGATTCAAATATTCTTATTTGATTTGAGGTAAAACAAAATCATTAACGGCTAATCATATATATTTAAACTAAACCACACCATTAAGGGAAGATAAAATTGATAATTGCTTGAAGTAATATATGTGATTTAAAAAAAATGTAAAAATAGAAGGTATAATTCTATCATACTTATTGTATATTGAGTATACATCGATAACAATTATAACCTGTTACAATGAAAATCAAAATATTTTTGATGATCCGCTAAAAATGTCAAGATCCCAAATAATAATGGGAATGAAAACAATAAGGTTCTAACTGGGCCACTTTCTAGTACAGCCCACTAGCCAGCCCAATTTGTAAAAAAAATTTAACTTTGAGAAATTATTTTGGAAAAATTAGCAATTAAATCATAATTTAAGGGCAAATTACAGAAATAACATATTTTAAAGGTAAAATTATGATTAATTCCTTAAAAGTTTATAATTACAAAAAATTTTCAAAATGAATACAATAATATAAGCGATGATACATTACTGTAATGCGCGAGATACATTAACCCTTAAGTAAGATACATTATATTTATTACATGATATACAAATCTTATGTACATTTTATACATAATACACTAATTTGATGCGTGAGATACACTAATTTGATGCAAAAGGTACATATTATACATGATATACTAATTTGATGCGCGAGATACACTTATGTGATATGCGAGTTACATTAATTTGATGCGCGAGATACATTAATGTGATGCGCGAAACGAGGAATTTTGAAAATTGTAACTCTTATAGAGGATAATGGTAATAAGTAAACTAAAAGGTAGGATTTTCGTAATTAATCCTTAAAATATTTATTTAAAATGTCAAAATGACAATATTTTAGAAAATAATATGTACTCAGATTTTAATATTTAATAATAACTTTTTTTTATGAAAACAATCCTATGTTGGATCCAATTCCAACCAATCAGTTACAAATACCCATTAACCTTCCTTCTTCATCTTCACGTTTCTAACCCACCTTTCACATTTTTACCCCTTTTTTCACGTTTGCAAATTTTCTTTCTCCAAAGTGCTCACAAATTGTTCATCGAAATATATTTTTAATTCAAAATTCTACTGTTAAACAAAATCTATTAATTAATTCAAGTAGATTTCTCGATTGGCACGATAATTTCATTATTTACTTATATTTATTTTACTTTGTTGTTTAAAATCATTGATAATGGTGTATATTTCAGATTCTATATATTACAGATTTCAATATCATCATTTATGATTTATATTTCGCATTGTACATATTACAAATTTTTCTTCAATTTTTATTTTATTTTTATGCAAGTTTGTTTACATATCCATCTAATATTTATGTATCTCAGATTTTTAGTCGATTAAATAAAAAAATTTAATTTTTTTTCCTTCCGTTTTAATATTTCAGGTTTATTAGAATCTACAATTTATTCCTATGTTTATTTTGTTTGATTTTTAATACATCTATATTTGCTTTTAGGATTTTAGATTTAGGGAAAGCATCCGTGTGTCTACAATGACTGATTCAACAGTTTATTTGTGTATTCAATCTCAACTAGTATATAATCATGTTTGTATTTTCTTCTTAATTTGTATTCATCCAAACTGTATGCTAACAATTTTGTATTTTATTGGATTTTCATTCTGTATTTCAATCTCAATTTTTATGTGAACAAGTTTGTATTTCTCTTTTATTTTGTGTTCAATCTAATTGTAAATCTACACCTTTTGTATTTTATGTGCCTACTTTACCTTACAAAGTCACTTTGTATTTCAAATGAAAAAAATATTGCTTTTATATTAACAACTTTATATTCAATCTCACTTTGTATTTATAACATTGTAATTTAGTATCACTTTTGAATTCATATATTGTTGTATTTGTTTGATTTGACCTTTCAAAGTCACTTTGTATGTCAAATAAAGAAAGCATTTCTTTTGTATTCACAACTTTATATTCAATCTCACTTTGCATTTTCATCTCAATTTTGTATTCATATATTGTTGTATTCAACATATGACATTAACTTAATGGGATACAAATTATGGTATGTATTCAAATAGAAAAAACAGGTACTAAACTAAAATAGCAATTTCATTCGTTATACATCATAATTTGGATACAAAATATCTGAACAAACTAACAAAGATTTCATTGATACAATCAGAAAAAAACTAACACTCTTGTACTCGATATAAACGAATATCTCATCCAAATAAATAAACAAATCATACCTGATCGTTTTTCGATTATTCACTGGATGCGATAAATTTATAGTTGTTAATTTTAAATTTTTTTTTAAATATGTCGTATCCAACATTAAGAAGCTTTGAAAGTTATCACATGAATGATTCGGAAGACAAACTAAATTATTTTAATTTCTTTTTATGTTTTTAAAAAGAAAGTAAAAAAACGCTCGACAGAAAGATGACTATTTATGTTCTTTTCAAAATGTAACTAATTTGTATTTAAAAATCTTTTTTTACCTTTTTTGAGTTTTTTTGTTCCATGAGTTTCTCTGTTATTAATTATTTGTATTCTTTCAAATTAATCAAAATAAAATAAAAACATAACTAATCCTTTAATAAACTAAAATAATGAGATTTTTAATAAATAATGAAACTATTGTTAGGAAGTCCCACTAAAAAATAAAATATTGTTATTTTTGAAAAAATTTCCAATTATTTTTACCGTTTCAGCTGAGAAAAAACGTGAAATTATGGAATTAAGGACTCGTTAATAGGGGTAGAGTTACAATTCGGCTTATAGATCCGATAAAACTTATTAATTTTTGGCCAAAAAGTTATATTTTATATTTAAAATTCACTTAATACGTATGAATAATCAATCTATAACTTAATAAGTTGTCTTTTTTAGAACGAAAAAGGGTCTAAAATACCTTCAAAGTATTGGAAATGGTATAATTACCCTCCATCCACCTATTGGCTCCAAAATACCCTTCCCACCCACATATTAGGTTCAAAATACCCTTGTCATCCACCTTTTGGTTCAAAATTGACCACTTATTTAACGGTTTTATGTTTAAATTATTTAAATATTTTTTTAAATACGTGGCGCTCAACTATTTGCTATAATTTAACTTATTAGTATAATTTATAAAATAATCCACTACTCACCCATTACTAATTAAGCCTCTCCAAATTAATAAACCCGTCACATTATTAATGCAACAACATAAAAGCTATTGCCAATTGAGTGTTTTTAAAAAATTTGAGGCGAAAATATCTATAGAAGTAAATTATCATACATTCAAGTGTTTAAATAAAAATTATCGATAAACTTAAAAGTCAGACTATGTCCATCTTAATTATTCTTACGTCTCAATTATGTGATGTTACTTCATAGGTAATATTTTTTCAAAATAATATATTAAAGGTTTTAAAACAAATCATGAATATTTATAAAATTATGTTTTAAGAAAATCATGAATTAATTCGAGATGTATTACTTCTTTACCTTTAATCATAAATTTCTAAATTCAATCAATCCTATTAAAAGTGTCCTCCTAAATAAGCAACTCAATCTAAATTTAATTAGGGCTTCGATTTAGACTCGAATAATTTTGGATGTCATTTTCAGGAATATATAATTTCATTGTGCTTTAGTAGTGTTTATGACGATTTTTATATTATAGTTGGATTATTACTTGGTGGGGTTTAGTTAGTAATGAGTGGGTAGTGGGTTGGTTTATAAATTATATTAATAAATTAAATTATAACCAAAAGTTGAACGTCATAAAAAGTATTTAAAGAATTTAATTTTAAAACAATTAAAAAGGTGGTCAATTTTGAAACCAAAGGTGGATGACAAGGATATTTTGGACCCAATAGGTGGATGAAAAATGCATTTTGGAGCCAATAAGTGGATGAAGGACAATTTTATACCAGTTTCAATACTTCAAAGGTATTTTAGGCCCTTTTTCATTTTTAGAATTAACAAACTAAGACAGATCAAAATTAAAAAAAAAACAAACAAACAAAAAAGGGCCCAACCGGGTTCGAACCGGTGACCTCTTGATCTGCAGTCAAATGCTCTACCACTGAGCTATGGACCCTAGTTATTGGTAGAAATGTTCATTTATTTATATAAATAATATTTGTTTGTATCTGGTTTTTATTTTAAATTAATAAATGTTAGATATTTGTCTTTTATACACATATTCGTCACTATGGTTAAAATGATGCATCCTGACTTGAAATTATACACCGATAAAATTAAATTATTTGATTTTGATGTAATTAACTGATGCATGTAATATAGAAGTAAACGATTTTTGAAATTTATGTTTAAGATATGTCGTTAAGTTATATGGCTATAACATTTGTGTAACTATAAAATTTTCTTTTTGATACTAAACTATGAGGGTCAATTTAAATAATTGTTTAAAATTTTTAAATATATCAAACTTTTAATAATAGACGGATAAAAATATAATTAATGTCCTTCGCTTTAAAATGACAAAGAATAGTATATTAGATTGCTCTATCTTCTGAATTTCCACTTATGAAGAAAAATTAAAGTCTTACTTATTTGAAATTGAGACGTATCTATTGACTTGTACAAATAGAGACACAATTAACAAAGAGAAAAAATAACACAAGAACTTTACGACATTAAGCTAAACCTACACCCTAGAGAGGAAGAAGAAAAAAGTTTTTTTGAGACAAAGTCAATATTATTGATTTGTCGTAAGTTGGAATTTCTACAAATTTAATTAAAAGTTAGATTAGGTGAGCTCACAACCATCACCTTTTTATACAAATTTTAACACTAATCGAAACACACAACGAAAACACCAAGTCTTCTATGATGATGTCAAAATCAGCTCTTATTTGTATTCATTTAGCAATAAATTCATCATTCGATCTTTCTTTCGTATTATTTTCAAGTAGTTCTATTCAAAAAAGAATTTATTGATCTACAGATATACATCCTTTTGATGATGTCATAAGTTGCTTCGATCATTTTATTTATCATTACTAGATAACTTTTTCTTTACCCTAGACGAAGAAAATTAGTCTTTTCAAATCTTGATCGAAAAAAGTATTTTAAATTAATTTTGATGCTTTCTCCGTTTTATCTTATATAAAGGTTTTATTATTTAAAGAGATAAAACATTCTTTTTTTCGATTGTAATATTCTCAATTTTTTTAAAAAGTATTTTTAAATGTAAACTCATTCTGACAAGTTAAAATAGAAAAAATATTAAATAAATGAAGAGTTACTATATATATATATATATATATGTCTTTAATTAAAATCTATTTTATACAAGTTAGGAAAAATGAGTTTTTCATATATAATGATATGACACCAGAAGATAAGCTTACATATTACCAAAAACATTAAGTTGATTAAATCAAAAGTGATGTGCCCAACTAATAACTCATCAACAAACTTGTTCCAATTTTGTAAGAAAAACAGTTCAACAATTCTGCTAGCTACTTTCCAACTACTTTCTTTGAATACTCCTTCTAGAAACATGGGAAAATGTTCGATCTACGTATTACGCGTTATGTTCTGAATTAAGATAATTTTAGGCATTTATCAACATAGGTTATAATGCACCAATGGAAGTGTTTTACCCTTAATTAGAAGTCTCGAACTTGAGACCTGGAGAAAATTTTGTGATGAACATCACCCCCGAATAAACCCTATAGAGCGCGATCCAAATTTTGTCGAGGTTAAGATGCATAATGAAAGTGTTTCATTCTTAACCAGAAGTCTCAAACTTGCAATCTGGAGAAACTTTTATGTGGAACATCACCCCTGAATGAACCCTATAGATCGCGATCCAAATTTTGTCGAAGCTCCAACATAAGCTCCGTGGAAAAATAAAATAAAAAGAGGACTTTAGGCATGTTCTAATTTTACTTTGGAGTTTGTTCTGACTAATCAATTATGTCTAACAATGATAACTGAATTTAATCTCAAGCAAAAAGAGAAAAAGAGAAACACATCCAGAGCACAAACTTAAAACAAAATTTAACTACTCATAACTTTTACCACATGTAACAAAACCTGTTGGATTACACAATAGTTATTAATCTGCAAATTAAAAAGAGCTATATATTGTCTATATATCACATATATTGCCTATGTACAATAGACTTTTCAATTTAACAAACTATTCAGTATATTTTTCTCAGCAAATATGTCCAGCAGAGAGAGGGCCTGCAAAACCAAAAATATAATTTTCATGTTAAAACAAAATGTCTCATATCCACATTATAATATATAAATGGAGCCTAGTTACATCTGTTGCTCGGTGTCTCGAAAAATATTGTCAGGTGTATGTCAGATCCTCCGGAAACTGTTGCATTGTTAGGAGGATATGACACGGATGAGGCAACATTTTTAGAGGGTCCAAGCAACCTAGTAACAATCTCTTGTTCGATTTTTTTTCTTTTCAAGAAGATAATAATCACCTCTGGAATGTTTAGTTCAAGGCGAAACTTAGGACCGTCATAATGGTGAAGAATTGGCCTGAATGAGTCCTCTTCAAGTGGTTCACAAATTTTCCTTGTCACGACGCGCACCTATACACGGAAATGAAATAAATATGATAAGTCTCGATTCGTTTTGTGACCAATGTAATAGGTCTCAATGAACAAACAGAAACCTTATTCAGTTTGATTTCAATTCATTTTTCAGTTAAATTTGATATATGTCCATAAGTAATCTGGTAAATGAAACAAATATGATATGCGGCGAGTTATTATTAGAAGGGGCAGCCTTGGAGCAACGATAAAATCCAGTCATGGGTTCAAGCTACTGATTCTTGCGTCAGGGTAGGCAGTCTACATCACACACCCCTCAAGTGCGGCCCTTCAGGAGAGGGCTGCCCCTTTTCTTAGGTGACGGGATATTTTAATCCTTACAATGGCATTCAAATATCTGAAGTAAATTCGGCAAAAAAAACTGACAGTTTTCTTTAACTTGTCTTACCTGAGCAGGAAAGCGCGATTCACCAGCGTTCTTCTTGTCCTCCCAAGCTGTAGGATCAATGTTAGACCCACCGAAGCTTGCAGCCTACAAAACCAATCCATTTATTGAGTTAAGTGACCAATCAAACAAAAGAGGAATATATTCTAATCCAACGAATTCGAGAGATTTACGACATGGTAAAATAGAGATACAAACCTCAAAAATTCCGTGAAGCTGGTGAGTTGAGTAGTTGTAGAGGAAAAGAGGCAAACCGGGTGTTATTTGGCGAACTGAATCCCTGTAACGAGGTGGCAAGCCTGAAATATAACATGATCAGAGATCAGAAAAATTGCCGATTTTACTTATTCTTTTGTTGTGTGAGCTGAAGAATAACTAGAATGGTCTAATGCAAAGACAACAAATCGATCAATTACACCTTAATCTCAAATTAGTTAACGGTGACTATATAATCCCATATTTACACACCATTTATAGTATTCGGAGATTCATCTTAGTTAAACTATTTACTAGATCAAGCAAAGTTGGGATCGGTTAAATTAATCATTCCATTCTATTCTATGTAGGTCCATTTACTCAATCAAGTAAAGTATCCAATTAACATAACTTATTGGAGCCATTTCCAAATACCACTACTTTAAGTCTTTAACCAACAACATCAAAGTTCAACTGATTATAACATTTAAGAACAATCTAGAAATACAGTCAAACCTCTCTATAACTACATGTTCGTCTTAATATTTTTGGCTAGCAAAAGCTTGTTATAGTAAAAGGAGAACTGTTATAAAGGGATATGACTGTAAAAGCTCAAAACAACAACAACAAACATATCCCGTGTAATCCCACATCCCACAAGTGAAGTCTGAGACAATAGCATGTGCAAACCTTACCCTTACCTCATAGAGTAGAGATGCAGTTTCTTAAAGAAACTCGGCTCAAATGCAACAAATATCAAAGTAATTACGGCAGTAGAGGAAACAGGTCAATTAATACGAAAAGCACAACGAAATAATGCGATAACTAAAACACAAAAGATTGAGAAAACTCACCAAAGAGCTCCCTTTTGAGATTCTCATGCATAGTATCATTGTTGCAAACAAAAATATATCCACCAACAGTTTCATTTTTTGGTAAAGATTCTGATGCTGGCAAAGTCTTGAACTTTTTATTCTCACTACTGCTATTATTAGCACCCAAATCCTTATTACTCTCTCTATTAATCTTGTTATTTTTCTTTCCAAATTTATTCACAAATCCGTAATCATCCTCAAAAACACCATTTTTCCCATTTCTCTTGTTGTTATTAACCCCTTTTGAGTTCACCATAATATTGCTAAAATTCATAGGGTTTGTGTAAACCCCTTTATTAAATCCACCATTTAAACCAACCCCACCACCACCTTTCACGGCTGAGCCACCACCAGCTGCCGCTGCCGCCGCCGTCATGTCAGCAATCTTCCAACCATCATTACTAAAAAGATTGTAATCTGAATTCAAATTTTTTGATGGATTTAAAGAAGTAACAGAGTTAATCATACCACCTACTCTGATATCAAAGTTTCTCCTTTCTTCAGGCCTTTTAGATACATAATTGTTACTCCAAATTGAATCATTTGAAGACAAATTTACTAAGTTGTTTGTCTGTAAACGAAGATTATCACTGAATTGGTAGAAAGATGACTGATTGTTCTCCATTTTTTCCTCTTTTGCTAAACCCTAGATGATTTTTTTTTCTACAAAGATTGAATCTTGGCCTAAAACAACAACAGAAAAGGCTATTTCAGTATACCCCAGACGATAATTTCTCTGTAAAGATTCAATTTTGGACTCAAACAACAATGGAAAAGGCTATTTTACTTAACCCCAGATGATAATTTCTCTGTAAAGATTCAATTTTGGACTCAAACAACAATGGATAAGGCTATTTTACTAAACCCCAGATGATAATTTGTCTCAAAGGATTCAATTTTGGACTAAAAGAGTGAAATTTACAGATGAACAAGGCTCAAAGAAGAGATTCTTTTGTTACAAAAAACTCAAGACTAGTGGTTGGGTTTTATAAAGAAGGGTGGAGTGAGTAAACGCGGTAGAGAGAAATTTCGTAGAAATGAGAGGAATTAGGAGTGGAAAAACTTAGTCGGGTCAAATCGTAGTAATGGGGTCGTTAATTTTTTAATTAGAGATTTCGAGTTTGAGTTAATATCGAAAAAAATTTATTGGAGTGTTAATACCTTAAATGGCTCTATATTGTGCATCTGAAAATTTTATTAGTAGTGTTATCCCGAATAAACTTTATAGTGTGCGATATGAAAGTAATTGAGGGCTTTAATATAGGCTTCAAACACCGAGTGAGAAACTAAAAAAGAAAATTACACTATACTTCTTTTTGTCCATCTTTATTTATTTACGGTATTATTTTGAAATGTTTAACAATACTTGTCTAGTTTATAAAAACAATGAACAATTTATAATTTTGTCTCTATTTTGCCCTTACTCATGTACACTATTCATTTTTCAATGTTTATATGACTTGTATTTAAGAAAAAATTACTTAAATACACAACTTATTTTACTTTAAAATAACCTGAAAAATCACTACTCTCTCCTATTCTCGGATACATAACTTTACGTGATATATCAAAATGTACGCGATGTACGGAATGTTATGTGATGTATTTGAAATCAAGGCGCGATGCATCAAAAGATGTTGAGCGGTGTATCGGGTCATTTTGGGATATCTCAATTTCATATTAACTTAATTTTTGAGGCATTTTTCATTTTTCAAATTATTTTACTTGTTCAATTTTCAAGACTATTTTTTAGAGTTTCTTTCAATTTTATCATTCATTAGTTAGTATTGAAATTAGTGATTAATTAATATTTAGTTTTTTTAATTATAAATTTGACAATAATTAATAAGAATAAAAATAAAAAAGTAAATTCAATTTATAATTTAATCTATTTTTCTTAAAGAGTGTGAAACACTTAAAAAATTAAATTAATATGAAATGGAGGAAGTAATGAATAATAACTTCTTTTTAATAATTATTAATCATGTTAAATAAGTGTACATATAAATACTAACATGTGCCTTTACATAAATTATTATCGGTAGCTTCAAATAAATTGATGTATTGTTCACTTTGATCTAATAGCTGCCAAATTTACTTTTAAAAATAAGAACATCACTTAACTCATGATTTGTTTTATAAAGTCCTTCTTTTTCTTCTCCCATTTGTTAAGAAGACGTATCGAAAATGATTGACAATTGATTTTTTTATATAAATTTGAAGAATTCTTATTTATATATGCTAATTATTGAGAGTGAATTTGTTGACACCAAATTTTGGTTTGATGGTTTTAAAATTAATACATTTTGAGTCAAATATAAAAAATAAATAATAATAAAAAATAAAATAAAATATGCTTTTCTCACATCTTTTCTCACATCTTTTCTCAAATAATTTTCAATTTTGCAACTGTCCCACATCGGTATTTCATCCTTTTTGAGGATTTTTGGGTTTCTATATAAACCCACTTTATTCACTATTTTTAAGGGAGGATTTGGAAGGGAAAACAAAAAATACTCATAAAATTTTGAGAATTCTTGGTTCCCATAGTTCAAAAAATTTTAAGTGTTTTTGTGATTTTTCGAGTTGAGGAGGTGGAATCGTCTTCTTTTTTAGTTTAATGTAGTTCTAAAAGTCAATTAATATTTGTATTAA